ATAAATTACAAAATTATTCCTGAAAATCCAATTATTTTGAGACATTTTAATAAATAACTCTTTGCAAAATTTAATTATTTTCATAAATAACAATATTCATCACAAGAATTCAATTATTTTTAAAAGTAATAAATTTCTGCTTAGAAATTCAATTATTTTAAAAAATAACAAAATTTTCCACAGAAATTCAATTCTTTTTAAACATTTTAATAAAATTTGTCGGAATAATTCAATTATTTTGCATGTCCTGTTTATATACTAAATAAATAACTTAATAAAATAAATAAATTTTCATAAATAATAATATTCTTCTCAGGAATTCAATTATTTTTGAAAATTTTAATAAAATTCTTAGCAACTATTTAATTATTTTCATAAATAATAAAATTCATCGCAGGATTTCAATTTTTTTAATTACATGAATTGCTCAAAAAATGTAATTATTCTTTAAAATTTAATTTCAATTCCTCGAAAAAATCAATTATTTAAAAAATGTTTTTTTCTAAATTCTCTGGAAGAATTCAATTATTTACCAAAATATTATAATTTTTCACAGGAATTCAATTATTTTCAAATACTTTAATAAAATTCGTCGAAAGAAATCAATTATTTTAAATACAATTTTAATGACATTTTTTGGAAATAACTCAATTATTCTTTTAGATTTTAATAATATTCTTCCCAAGAATTCTACTATTTATATAAATAATTTTTCGAAGAAATTCAATTATGTCGATAAATAACAAAATTGTTCCCAAAAATTTAATTATTCTGAGGTATTTTAATTAATTCTTTGCAAAATTCAATTATTTTTATCAATAACAATATTCATCACAAGAATTCAATTATTTTTAATACTAATAAAATGGTTTGCAAGAATTCAATTATTTTTATAAATAATAAAATGCTTTTTAGGAATTAAATTATTGTCAAAAATTTTAATAGAATTCTTTGTAAAATTTAATTGTTTTTGAAACCTTTTCGCAATTCAATGATTTTCAATGATCTACTATTTTCATAAAATTTCCAAACAGAATTCAATTATTTAAACAATTTTTTGTAAAAATCTCCGTAAGAATTCAATTCTTTTCATGAATAATAACAATTTCTCATGGAATTCAATTATTTAAATTAGAATTTGCATAAATGAAAATTAGTCGAAAGAAAGGAATTATTTAAACATTTTTATAAAATTCTTGGCAAGAATTAAATTATTTTTCTAAATATTTAAATTCTTTCATGAATAATAAAATTCGTAGCAGGAATTCAATTTATTATCAGGATAAGAAAGAAGTAAATATTTTTAATTGAAATTAGGAAAAAGTGAGGAAAATAAAAATTTGGAATGGAATTTTGGTGAGTTTTGTTAAGTGTCTATAACGAGTTTTTTGGGTCGTCAAGTTTAATATTTCGATAGCTACTTTTTAAATCCTTTTTTTTAGTTTGAAAGCTACTTTTTGCTACTTTTTTAAAATTAATTATCGAGTGCGCAGTCTGTTGTTAATAAATTTATTTAACAATCGAGTATTTAAAATAAAAAAATGTTTAAATAAATTTCTCTTATAGTAAATTTTTTTTTTCTAGTGAAAATTCTGAATGCCAGTCGAAGTGTGAGTCTCGGCACCTTTAAACAAAATGTCAATGTTGACTCTCTATACGAGAGTCTAAATAGCAAAATCATTTAATTAATGTTTCTATTGTTAAATCGACGTTATCACACTTGAGTTTGTCTGTGAATCAATGCTCACGAGCCGTGCACGAGTTATGACAGATGATTCCGCGAGCAGACTTTGAAAAACTTTCTCAAGATGCTCGACTGTATGGCAATTATAATTGCACAACAATATAGAGTAGGATGTTTCTTTAGGATTTCGCGATTTGCCATTTTCTCAATCTCCGCCCCCCTTGTTCTTTGGAAAAACAATATTAATACTTATTAGACATCTCATTCGTGAGTCATTTTCAATATTGATTACCCACTTTCTTGAAATGACTATGACTCTGAAATTACTATTTCATGAAACTATCATCGATTCTAACTGTATTATCAATTTCAACGGGGAGGTAGGAAAAAATCGAAGAGGTCGGTAGGAAGGAACATTTTTTTTTTCTTTTTCTAACTTTAGATTCTTGTATAGACGAGGTAATTATTATTGAAGACGTGTGGCTTTAATAGCAGATATTCTTGAACTTCCTGATTTTCTTGAGGAATAAACATCAAACGGATGGACCGCTCAAAGTGTTGGAGTAATTTTTTTTTATTTGTTTCAGCTGAATGTATAATGACAAATAATGCCGTTTCCTTTGCAATTATTAATCTTTTACATCGTGACATAATGGTAGTTTTAGTCGCGTGGGGCCAATCATTATTTTTCTTATGATGACAGCAAACAAGTGGTATAATTATTTTATAACAGGAACAATATAGATGGATTCGTGTGATTGTAAGAAGTGAGAAAAAAAATCGTCATAAAGAAATCACATTGACAATAGTTTTATATACTGTCACTTTCTTTTTATTATTTTACTTTTCTCCTTTTTTATTATTTCTAATTTCAAGAAGGAGATTATTTGTTAGTTGCATTAAAGAAGCAGGACTTGGATAATCATTATCGACTTTTTCGTCTTATTTTTAAAAAAATGCGACTTTTCTTCCACATATTACGACAAAATATCACTTTATTTTAATATTTTTTTTTTAATATCACTTATTTTGATTTTGACTTGATTTTCATAAAACAGAACTTTTGACATAAAAAGTGCAAAATAATCAATTATTAAAATGAATTTAAAAAATTTAGTTTTTAATATTTTTAAAAATTCATTTTTATGTTCGACTTTTTTTTACATTTACGTGGATTTCGACAATAAAAGAGTTGACACAAATCTGACAATTTTATCCAAAATAGTGAAAAGGAGTTAAATTTCTAGAAATTACACAAAAATTCAAGTTTATGCTTAACTTGGAAAATTCTATTAAAAAACTAAAACTGTCCTTAAAGTTCATTTTTTTCGCCCTAAAAGTGTAAAAAAAGAAAATCAAGATACACTTGCAATTTTTATAGAAAATTGAATTCTCGAAGAACTTTATAAAAATTATTTAAAATTTTAAATTAATAAATTCAAAAAAAAATTTGGATAAATTCTGGAAAATAATAGAATTTACCAAAAGTTATAAGTAGAAATTTTTAGAAACAATTAAATTTCAAAATTCTTAACAATACTGTTAAATTTTCAAATATAAAGTTCTTTTAAAAATTTGCGATTAATCGGAATTTCGTATAAAACATAAGTTAATTTAAAATTGTATTTTAATTTTCAAATGAACTTTCTTCTTTTTTAAATAATTCAATTTTCAAAGAACTTTCTGAAATTTTTTGAAAATAATTGATTTAGAGAAAAATTTTAGTTCAAATTTCTCGCAAATAAGTGAATATTGGAGAAGTAGCAATTTTTAGAAATAATTAAATTTCACAAGTTATTAAATTGAAATTTTTGAGGATTTGGATTTTGAATAATTTAAATTTCAAAATTTTTAGTTAAAACTTCTGGAAAATAATTAAAGAATACAAGAGTTATGTAGAAATTTTTAGAAATAATTTAATTTCAAATGTTTTTAAATTTTAATTTTTAAAAATTTCAATTTTAATGATTTTTATGAATTTTTTTTTTGTTTTTTTTTTAATTTTTCATTGTGAATTTAATTGAAAAATTTCCAATTAATTGAAATTTCGGGAAAATGAATTGAAAATATTTGAATTTTAGATGCATTTTAGATGAACTTTTCTTTAAATAATTGAATTCTCAAAGAATTCTCTCAAAATTATAAGAAATAATTGATTGGAGAAATTTTTTAGTTGAAAATTCTAAAAAATAATTGAATTTTAAAGAAGTTTAATAATAATTAATAATTTTAGTTTTGGAAATTATGAAAAGTACTTGAATTTCTGAAGATTTGAAAGTAAAATTAAAAAAAATTTTAATACTTGTGAAAAAAAATAATCATCAGTATTTATTTAACATATTTATTTAACAAAATTATTTAATTTTTGAATAATTGATTTTAGTACTTCTGAAAAAATTACAGTATTGAAAAATTTCATTAAAAATTTTTTGAATATGATTGAAGTCCCAAAAATAATTAATTGAAAAATTTTTAAACAATTAGAACGTTCTTGTGATTTTTTTTTTTTGAATAAATTTTACATTCTAAAGAATTATTTTTCAATTTCTAAAAATTTTCGTGGTTTTGTAGCAAAATTGTAAAAAATATGAAAAATTCTTTAAAAATAATTGAATTTTACAATAGTAAAATTTTCTATTTTTCTGATTTATTTTGCAAAGTTATTTTACAAAATAAATTTTACACTCTAAAGAATTGTTTTTCAATTTTTAAAAATTTTCCTGGTTTTGTAGCAAAATTGTAAAAAATATGAAAAATTCTTTAAAAATAATTGAATTTTACAACAGTAAAATTCAATTATTTTTAAAGAATTTTTTATATTTTTGGAAATTATTTGGAAATTATTTAAAATTGAATTTTACAATAGAAAAATTCAATTATTTTTAAAGCATTTTTCATATTTTTTACAATTTTGCTAAAAAACCACGAAAATTTTTAAAAATTGAAAAAAAATTCTTTAGAATGTAAAATTTATTTTGCAAAATCACTTTGCAAAATTACTTTGCAAAAAAATCAGGAAAATAGAAAATCAAGTTTTTTTTGTATTTTTGAAGAAAATAAACAATGTTTTAGACATTTTTTGTACTTTCGAATTGACAACAACGACTTTTTTGTGCTTTAAAGTCGATTTGAAAAATTCTTGACAAATTCCTTTTTCGTTTGATAGTTGTCAATTTTCTTAGAAAGAAAAATTCATGTGTAATTTAATTCGAGTGAAAAAAAGTATTTCGCAATGATACAATAATAATAATAATAATAATAATAAGTTATAATTGATTACAATGATAGTAATTAAAATTGTTTTTGATATTTACAGGTGAGCAGTAAAGGTCTGAAGATAATTCAGACTGTACATCATCCGGCAGCATCCTCGAGATCGGCTCTGAAACATTTGGTGCCAGGCCATGCAGTTTTGGCCACAGTTCAACGTGAAGATGTTGTGGCCGCAACTCTTCTTCTACCCAATCCAGCGTCCAATAATCCAGTTCACGTTCATGCTTACAGGTTCGATTTGAAAACTTACGAAATCAATTTTCATGTTTCGAATTCATTTTGAACAGTATAATTATCCTGAAACTTGATTCTGTAAAGTTGCTCCAATTAACAATCGTGACTCCCAGTTATTTCAAATCCAAATGTTTTCACATATATAAATCTTGAGAAATCCACTCGACATTCATTTTCCAATTAATTACTAATGAGAATTTCCTTACTGGTGAAAAAATTAAATGACGTTCTCCCTCCTTTCGAAACGTATACGATTTCCATTTCTGTAAAAGCCAAAAATTTATTAGTTATTTTTGTAATTACTTTGAAAGAGAATGTCAAGAATGAAAAAGTTAAAAAAATTTCATATATTTACAAATCTGGATGAAAAGTAAACGTTGGTGAAGTTCACAGCGTTTAAAAAATATTTAAATCGACGATTTAATGGAAAAAATATTTTTTCACTCAAATTTTTGGCTTAGAAACGTTTTGTAAAAATAATTCTTATTTTTTTATATTTAGATTGTTTGATAATTTTTATCAACAATTCGAAAAATAATTTGTAAACAAAAATTATTGTTTTCTGGGTAAAAAATTTTTTTTACTACAACTTTTGGCTAAAAAAGTTTTGTAAGAATAATTCTTCTTATATTTTGATATTAAGGTTGTTTGATAATTTTTATCAACAATTCGAAAAATAATTTGTAAACAAAAAATATTGTTTTCTGGGTAAAAATATTTTCTTCCTGCAATCGTTGGATCATAAACGTTGTGAACTTCACGCACATAGTAATTTTTGAGTTAAAAAAAAGTTGAGAAAAAATATTTAAAAAGGGAAAAAAAAATTAAAAAAGATATTTTTAATACCTACAAAAAAAAGTCTTCAAAAAAATTCTGTATTGAAGAAAAATAGTTCCCAATTATAAATTTTCATAGTACATTAAATAAACTAGAACTTGAATGATGTTAATTCAAGGATAGAATATGAGAAATTAGAATGAGGAATAATCTGTTGGAAAAAAAAGATTTCATTCAGTAATAAATTCACTTTGCAAATAATTAATGTTCACATAGAATGGTTTTGAATAAGGTTGACAGGAATCTTGTCAATTTGTGTGGGATTGTTTTGCATTTTTAATAAGTTTTGCATCCAACGTGTGTATAATTAAATGTATGAGGGTCATGTAGTTCATCGCCTCGATCTCACTAGTTGGCTTCATTAATTGATGACTTTCATAATTCTAAACAACAGTACTTCCTTGATTCACACGTGACCTATGCGGAAATTTCAGAAATTAATCCACCATGATATTAAATAATTCACGGATTTATTTTTTCTTAGAGTAAATAAATCAAAATTTAACTCTCAGTAATGTTCAATAATTATTGGTTTTTGAATAAGTCAATAATAAATCATAAATAAATAAATAAAAAATAAATAAGAAAAAAATACCAAATAGATAATAAATAAAAATAAGAAATAAGAAATAAATACTTAATAAATTTCGAATTAAATTAAAATAATTTTTCGAATATAATGAATCGAAATTTTCGATTTCGAAAACCTGAAACAGTTTTTAACTGTTCCAAATTTTTTTAAATTAAAATAATTAATTTTCCAAATGCTTATTATCTAAATTAAGTTGTACAGCAATTTCTGAAAGTTAATAATGTCATTAATTTCTCAATTGACGAGTTTTTATATTAATAGGAAATTAAAATTTCAATTTTAGATTGTGACTTCGACTTTTATAAGAAACAGAAACGTCAATAAAATTTTAATGCTTTGTTTTGAAAAGAAAAAAATATAATAGAAAGCGTATTTTAGGAAGAAATCGAAAATTTAGATTTCTCTCTGAATGAAGTCAAAGTCATTATTATAGTTAATAGGCAGTAAATATTAGTAATTTATAATGATGGAGATTGTTGCGACTCGAGTGACGGTCATTTTAGATTATCATATTTTGCAATGGTTTACTGTGCAGGAAAATTATGAGGGTGCACAAATCGTTTTTCATAAAAGGAGAATTTCCTGAACAATTTTATTTCACTCTGAATTATAATAATTAATTAATTATTGAAGTGAAAGATTGTTATTTCAAATGTGTATTTTTTATATGAATGAAAAATTTTTATTTTATTTTTTTAACGCAGGGTTTTTTCTCAATAATTATTTTCGATTTTTAAAAGATATGTTTCCTTATTTTGTTTTTGCTTTTTTGTTTCCTAATTTTTCATTTTGGTATTTTTTTCTTTTTAAATACTTTCAATTTCAATTTAACGAAATTCTAGTTTAATCTTTTGAAAATTAAATAATGAATTAATTTAAAAAATTAATTAAACAAAATTTTTTCGATTAATAACAATTTAATTTCAAAATTTTATTTATTTTTTAAGAAAAACTGGATTTTATTTACAATTTTTTACTTTATTTTATTTTATTTTCCGTAATTTTGAGTTAATATCTATGTTAATTTTTTTTATCAATTTTAAAAGATAAATTTTTTGTTTCAAAATGTTATAATTTTTGTAACTTTTATAATTTTTAATCTGAAATACTTTATTTCTTGGAGAAAGAATTTAATTTAAAATAATTGAATTATTTGGATGAATTTTAATAAAATATTTGAAAATAATTAAATTCTTTTCGATCAATTTAATTATAAGTGTATTAAAAATAATTCAATTCTTATAAAGAATTTTATTCAAATTTTTGAAAATAATTGAATTCTCTCCAAGTATTTCATTAAAAAATTTTTTAAAATTCTTTTCAAGAATTTTGTTAGAAATTTGTGGAAGTAATTGAAGTGTTTAGAAAAATTTTGTGTAAAATGTTTGAAAATAATTATTTTCTTTTTCAAGACTTTCATTTTGGAAAATTATTAAATTTTTTTAAGAAATTTAATTAAAATTGTATGAAAAATAACTGAATTCTTAAAAGAAATTATTTTAATATTTCTTGTAAATAATTGAATTCTTTCAATAACTTTTATCAAATTTATCTATTCAAAATAATTTAATTTCCCTAAAAAATTTTATTAAAATTTAAAAAAAAATTAATTTCTTTCGGGAAATTGTACAATAAAAATTGTATTTCAAATAATTGAATTCCAGCAAATAATTTTATAATTTATGAACATAATTTAATTTTTTCGAAAAATTTGATTAAAATTTATGAGAATATTTGCATTCTGGAGAAGAATTTTATTATTTATATGAAAATAATTCATTTTTAGCGAAGAATTTTAATAAAATTTTTGAAAATAATTAAATTCTTTAACAAAATTTAATAAAAATTGCATTGAAAATAATTGAATTGTTACAAAGAATTTTATCTAAATTTTTGAAAATATTTGAACTCTTTTCAAGAATAATATTGACATTTTAGAAAATAATTGAAATTCTGCGCAGAATTTCATAAAAATTTTTAAAAATTCCTGCGAAGAATTTCTTTTTTAAATAATTGAATTGTTTTGAAGAATTTTATTTAAATTTTTAAAAATAATTAAATTCTTTCGAGAAAAGTTACAATTATCATTGTATTGCATATAATTTTGTCATTTATGAACATAATTGAATTCTTTCGAAGATTTTTATTAAAATTTATAAAAATATTTGAATTCTTGAGAAGAATTTTATTAAGTTCTTCAACACTAATAAATAATAATAATTAATTAGTTAATTAGTTAAAAAGTAATTTTTTTTTAATTTTCGAGTCTGTATTTAATTAAAAATCGAAGTTAATATTTAAAATTAAAAAAATTGTAAATTAAATACGCATTTTGCGTTTTGAACGCAAAAAATGTGGTCACAAACATGTTGGTTAATTGGAGAAATTTTTTTTCTTCTTTCTACGTTTTAAAAAATCGAGAATAATAATTTACTAATATTTGCGAAAGGAAAAATATTTAACGTCCTTTTTCTCTAATTTTCAGATGTGATTCAGTGGAAACTGCAGAATTGCTAGGAGGGCAATTGAAGGCTCTGGCTTCACACTCAGATAATTTAGCGAGGATTGCATCAACTGAAAGTAGAATTCGCAGTAATCTAGGTAGCGATGGAAGGAGCACAAGGGAATCTGAGTCTTCGGAAGGCAGTGGCGAACTTCGAAATATTCCAGTTCAAGCAACATCTATTTACGAATCGCTCGCGGCCGAATTAAGAGCAAAATTAGGTAAACTCGCTTTAATGCGATAAGAAATAATAATTCGTCGATCATTTTTTTTAAGATACTCAAACACTTCTTTAACATCGTTCTTTTAACATCGTTTTTTTAACGTCGTTTTTTTAACATCTGCATTGTTATAATAATATTATTTGCATAATTAATCCACAGAAATAATGATCTGATGGCGAAATAATCTCTTTTCTGCCGCACAATATTACAAAATTCCAAGCACTCTAGAGAATGAATTTCTCTAGTTTCTGTAACTATAATGTGTAAAGTGTAATTCCGTAATGTAAAAGTGTGCCAATTGTAATTTAATATTGGCACACCTGCATGTTTTAAAATTCCTCTTTGACCCAGAGGATATCCTCTGACTCTTTTTTTTTTTGTTCTAAATGCAGGGAGAGGAAATTCGGCTGACAATACTGGTCCCATTCTTTTGCCACCTCGCGATTACGACACAGTTCACAGACAGCGTGGTAATCTTCTAGGAATTGAGTTCAGGCGATGTCTAAACCAAAACATCGTAGGAGGTAACACTGTCATTGAAAGAGGTGGGACGAGAAGTGCCGCGAGCAGTGGAATTGGCTCTGATAGCGCAGCGACACCTCCACCTTATCAATCTCATCATCCTCTAGGACCAAGGCCATCAAGACCGTCCAGGGATTCATCTTCCGGTGAGTTTTCTTCTTCTTCTTCTTCTTCTTCGTCTTATTCTTTTTTTTTCCTTTTTGCCTTAACATTGACATTCCTTGATTGTTATCTAACCAGCGTTGTTCTTTGTCCTTGAAAAAAAATTATATGGAAATTCTTTTATAATTTTATAATTAATACAGGAGAATTTTAATCAAGGATTTTTTTTCTTTGGAATTTAGAAATTTGACTTGATGACTAACTTTGATATTTAATATTAATTTTTTCGTATTTTAGTTGTGGTTGGAGTTGAATATTATTTCACTCAGGCCTCGGACTTTTTAGACTTTTTTTCGACTATTTTCAGAAAAGGCAACTTTTTCCGGATTATTTTCAAAAAATTGAACTTTTTCGATTTTCTTCCTAACATTGCAACAAAATATCACTTTTCTCTTATGAAATATGCAAATTACTGGAATTTTTACAGTGGGAAAAATAATCATAATCGAAGATTGCAAAATTAATTGATTAATAATTAACTAAAAAGTAATTATTACGTTTTTCAAAAAAAAATTCCTAATAATATACTTTTTTTAAGACCATTTTCATTTTTAATTTATTAAAAATTTTTAAGAAATTCAATTATTTGTAAAATTGTTAATTAAAACTTTTTTAAATTTAATTTTCTAAAATTCTAATGAAATGCTTTGAAAAATCAATTATTTTCAACAAAATTGTACAAAATTTTAATTATTTAAAAATTTTTTAATTATGTATTTCGAAAGTATAATTACATTAAAAAAATTATTTGATTGAAATAACTAATTACTTGTTTATTATAAAATAAATATTTACTTGAATCAAATAATTTTTATTTAAGTCAATTAAATTTTATTTAAACTGATAATTTCAGTATTTAAATCAAATACAATTCATTTAATTAATTTAAATAAAAATTCTTTGATTCAAAAAAATATTTGCTTAGGTAATAATAAACAATTGGTTATTTAAATTATATAAATTTTATCCTCAGTGTAATTAAGCTTTCGAAATTTACAATTAAAAAGTTATTAAATACCTTACCTAAAATTTTGTAAAATTGTATTGAAAATCATTTTTTTAAAAGTATTTTATTAAAAATTTTTGAAAATCAAATCTTGTACAATTTTAATTGTAAATTTTTTAAATAAATTGATTCTTCAAAAACTTGATTATTTTTTAATAAAATTCAACAATTCTTTTAAAAAGCTAATTTTAAGAATTTCTCAAATATAATTTTTTCAAAAATCAATTATTTTTAATATTTTTGATTAAATATTTCAATTATTTTCAATATTTTCAATTGCATATTTACTTAATTTAAATATTTACAAAAACCGTTATTTAAAATTTTTTTAATTCTAAATTTTGAGAATTATTTTTTAAATTTTAGATAAAACTATTATTTTTAAAAAATTTTAATTAATATTCTTCAAAAAAAAAATTATTACTAGGATATTAAATTGTGCAAAATTTAAGAAAGAGAATAATTTTCAAAAAATAACATTACATTACATTCTGATATTATATTTTCAATAATTCAGCTTTCTTTCCAACAAAAATTATAAACTGTTACTGTTACAATTTAAAAATTAGCAAAAAGTCGAGGAAATAAAAAATGAAATTTTTGTTACAAAACTGAATAAACGATTCTTTGATTTGTTTTTTAATTTTTAATGAGTGATTATTTTTTTAGATTTTCCAAGGATTAAAGTCTTAAAGTCGATCTGAGGCCTGTTAGCTGCGAAAATATTTTTTTTCTGCAATAATCATACTTTGAAATCGAAAACTAAATATCGTTTGTTTGACATAATTGGGTCACATCTTGTTATATATAAAACGAACAATTCACAGTAAATATAAAGTAAATAAATCTAAAGAAAATTAGAAATCGCTTCGATTTTCGAGAAAGTCTTTAATCATCCTGATTCTATCATTCGCTGCGTGATACACAGTAAATAGATGTAATGATCATTCGACTTGACACAGTAAACAACTGTACCGTTCATCATTTTTATTTCAAGTTTCCGCCACTTTAATCCTCATCTGTAGATTTCAATTCGTTTTTCACTAAATTTTGGATTGAATGTCAATTTCTTAATTTTTCTCTTTTTTCCAACTGGTAATAGAAAATCTCCTGTTTCTTCTTCTTCTCCTGCTTTAAATAGCATTGAAAATTATTTTCCCACAAATTGAAATTCTCCAATTTCCCAAAGCGATTAATTTATAATTTATTCGATTCATTTCTCTTGTTTAATTTATCTGATTAGTTTGATTTATTTGTCGGATTCGATTTCAATGTAAACGGGAATTTTGTAACGCAGGCAATATGTGTAATATAGAGAGAGAGAGAGAGAGAGAGAGAGAGAGAGAGAGAGAGAGAGAGAGAGAGAGAGAGAGAGAGAGAGAGAGAGAGAGAGAGAGAGAGAGAGAGAGAGAGAGAGAGAGAGAGAGAAAAAAAAATTATTACCTTTTTAGAAAGGAATAAGGTAGTTTTTTAAAGAGTTCCGTAATTTCGAAATTCCTTATGACATTTGACATTTTAGGATGAGACAGAGACACTCTGTATGCTCATAGAATTACATGAACGATCGGCGAATGTGTTAAGATATAAATTTTTTGACGACCACTTTATTGCAGTCGACATTCTTCTTCACTTGTCCTTAACATACCTGCAGCATTCGTAACGGGATGTTAAAACGTTTTATTTAAACAACACACTCTAGAATAAAGTTATATCTCATCAAAATCTGCAATTTTCCCACCGGGGTGCGCGCAATGTTTACAAGCCATTTCTGGTTCACGAATATTCATTAGAGAAAAAGATGAAAAAAAAGAATCGAATACATAAGCGTCGTGTATATTTTCGAAAATAATTTAACCGGTTTTCCAGATAAAATCAAAAAGGTAGCAAAAAGGCATCGAGAAATTGTTCATTGAACTCAATGAAGATTAATCATCTTTTGATCGTTTAAAATCCTGCCTTTCGGAATTTTATCAGACTTTTTTTCTGTAATTTATTTCTGAAAAAGAATGAATGCAAAATTTTTCAATTTTAATTAATATTTATTTTAATTTATTTATTTACTCGTATTTTCATTAATTTTTTTATTTATTTTTTTCATTTGCTCGTATATTTTTTTACTTATTTTATTTTAAAATATTTTTTATCATTCTTTTCTGAACTGATTTAGAAATAAATGTTAATTTAAAAATGTTTTTATTAGATTTTTTGGCCGATTAATTACAAGTTGCAAAATAAATATGATCCTATAAAGTTCTAAACGTTCAAATAAATGAAATTTATTTATTTTTTCTTCAAATAAAATTTGTATTAGAATAATTTTGCGTTAAAAAATTGTACAGTAAAAAATTATATTAATTATAAAGTTTCTAAATGTAAAATGTAAGTTTTTATTTTCTATTGCAATCAAAATGAAAATATTTTGAACATTTTCACAAAGCAAAAATAAATTAAAATTTTACCGATAATCATCGAATATTCGACTGATTTAAAACATTTTTGAATTTTCTTGACAGAGATTATTTGCAGAAAATAAATTTGGAATATTCGAATTTGTAAAATTTTACGAGTCTCACACTATGAAAATTTCGGTTTCGAAACTTCGAAGTTCCGAAACTTGAAAATTCGCTTTACTTTGGTTAAGCGAATTCCGAAGTTTCATAGTATGAATGAAATGAAGGAGAGAAAAAAAAGCGTGAAAATAATTCGGAGAATTTACGCCAACGGTCAGAAAGAACAAATTTGGGCACTTTCTACCTGCGAAACAGGTGCACACACGTGACGCATTCATAGCGAAGACGTGCTCCGTTAACCTACTTCCGGAGAATTTATAATAATGTATACCGCGAAAAAAAAACGAATCAGCGAACATGCTCGATTTTTATCTTTGAATCTTTGCCTCACGAAGAGACATTAATTTCATTTTTTTTTTTTTGCATTCATTCTCTGTTAACATTTTTATTCGCTTGTTCATATAATTAACTGTTAAAACGAATTCAATTCCAAAGACGGGACATTTTTTTACTAAATTTTTATTTTATACGTATCTTTTTTTTATTTTAGAATTAATTCAGAATTTACAGACTACTGTGTGTCGTCTTCACTGTCGTTTATCATTATTTACTGTCTTTACTGTCATTTTTTCGTTTTTTAAATTTTGGCAAATTTAATTTTTAGTCAATTTTTTTATTCTACTTATAATTTTAATTTTGATTTTAATTTAAATTTTAAAGTTAATTATAATTTTAATTTTGATTTTGATATTAAATTTAATTTTAAATTTAATTTTGGATTTTGAATTTAAATTTAATTTTTTTTTAAATTTAATTTAAATTTTCACCTATTTTGTAAATTTTTCAAATATTCCCGTTCCAAAGTTAGTTTCGAAAAAATATTTAATTAGGTACTTAGTATTTCAATAAATCAAAATTCTAAATTATTAAAATTTTCGTCGGTTAAAATTTGAATTGACTCTGAATTTAAATCGTCGAAATTTTTAAATTCTCAATTCTATAATAATTCATCTTATTTTTAGCCAAACCCAAATTTACTTGATTTGAATTTCAATTTTTTCAATTTTTTTTTGAAACTTCAATTTGGGAATTTATTTATTTACTTGTATTTTAGAAACAATTTAACATTGATAAATTATTTTTTTTATTTTCATAAACATGAACGAAGAAAAAAAATTAATTTTAAAATTAATGTATTGAAAATCATTAAATTCCTGCTGATCTATTTGTTAAAAAGTTTGAAAACAATTAAATTTTTTTAGAGAATTTTATCAAAATTTTTGAAAGTCATTGAATTCTTTCGAGAAATTTTATTAAAATTTTATTGAAAATAATTTATTTCTAGCAAAGAATTTTATTATTCATGAAAATTATCGAATTCTTAAAAAAAATGTTAATATAAAATTTTTAAAAATAATTTAATTGTTTGAAGAATTTATTTGAATTTTTGGGAAAAATTGAGTTTTTAGAATAATTTTTGTTCAAAATTTTTAGAATAGCGGATGAATGTTATAAAGAATTTTTTTTAAGTTTTTAGAATAATCGCGTTTATTAATAATTGTAATTAATAATTTTATTATTAAATTTTATTAACATTATTGATAGAAAATTAAATTTTTTAAAACAATTTTACTAGAGTTTTCGAAAAAAATTAAATTTTTTTTGAAGAATTTCTTCAAATTTCTTGAAAATAATGTAGATTTTTAAATAATTTTAAGCAAAAATTTTGAAAATAATTGAAATTTACAAAGAATTTTATCAAAACTTTTGAGAATAATTGAATTTTTTAGAAAAATTTTATTACAATTGTAATTAATTTTAAAAATAATTGAACCAGATGGAGAAATTTTATTAAAATTGTATTAAAAATAATTGAATTCCTGTGTAGAATTTTATTATTTATAAAAATAATTCAATTCTTTCGAAGAATTGTACAATTTATAAAAATAATTGAATTGCTTCCAAGAATATATTGAAATTGTAGGAAATAATTGAATTCTTTTAAAAAATGTTATTAAAAATTTGAAAAAATAATTGAATTCCTACGATGAATTAATATTATTTATATCAAAATAATCGACTTTTTCCAATGTATGTTATTATTTATGAGAATAATTGAATTCTTGCGAAAAATGTTATTAAAATTTTTGAAAACAATATGCAAGAATAATTAATTAGGAACTTTGGATTTTTAAAATTTTGAATATAAAATTATTCAAAAATTGATGTTTGTGTTTGAAAATATAAAATGATAATAAAATTTGAATTTGAAAAATGAATAAAAAAAAAATAAATTTGTGAATATAACAAAGAAATAATTTTATTCTATTTATAATAATAATAATAAATAAATAAATGATGATATTTAAGATCACGATTTACTCTTCTTTCCAAAAAAATCAAAACTTCTATTAAACGAATTTTTATATTTATTCTTAATTTTTGTTTACAAGCAATTTTAATAATAGAAATGTAAATTTAGTTCATCGATGAATTTTAATTTTAATTGCTCTAAATTCTTGAACCATTTATGAGAATTCAATAATTTATCTCGCAAATTTCAGTCCTATCAGTAAACTTTAATTTTTTAATTTGTAATTATTCAAAAAAATAATATTAAAAAAGTTGTGCCTTTTTGTCATCTATTTTTGAAAAATAATTCATCTCTTTGTGAGTAGAAAAAGTACCGTGAACTCCGTTAATTCCTTTCTGAAATGAAAAAATAACGAAATAAATTTGATATACGTAAAAATGAAAATTCAAGATTTTTATTAAATAAAATTAAAGATTTAAATTTATATTAAATAAGATTTAATTAAAATTTTAGAATTAAAATGCTGGAATTAAAATTGAAATTTAGAATTAATAAAACGAAAAGTCTGAAATTAAAATTTTTTTGAAAAAGACCGGAGGGCAAAATTTTGAAATTCATATACACGCGTCGTCGTCGTCGCTTTTATCAGATTTTTCGCAGATGTAAAACTTGACAATATTTTGCATTCTCGTTTATCGCGTACGCTTTAAAAATTTCACTGGCCCGAGGCGAGAGACATGAAAAAATATGGGAATTAGTTGGCCTTTTTTTCGACTATCAAGATACTCAATAATTACATTGTAAACTGTTGAGTACATAAAGGTCTCTGGTTCGAGATTGCTTCTTGAGAAGTGAAAGTGAAATTTCTTCTTTATACAGATGTTTATAAGTTCAATATATAGACGGTTCTAATATCGTATAAATTTTAAGAAGCAATATAAAGCATGTTCCACGATAGGATATCACTCTCTTGTGTGTATGAGTGTGTGAGAGAGAGAGAAGGGAAAAAGAAAAAGAGAGAAAGAGAGAGAAAAAAAAGGAAAATATATACGTCACCTTGAGCGAGAACGATGCACCGTGAAAAGAGCCGCAAGTTGCAAGTAAAGGTTTGCTTTATGTGTACATATGTTAGTACATAAATCGCGAACCAACTTCTATCCCGTTTCCTCGCCCCATAGTTGGAGAGTTGTAGAAAATCAAACGTTGATCACTGATCCTTCACTGACGTTTGATGATAGACATTTTGCCAGTTCGATGATTGCGGATAATAAGGTACGATTCCTTTGGTAATCATTAGCAGGAAGTCTGAAAGTGGAGGAAAAAAAAATTATTAAATAAGTTGCAAGGTCTTGGTTGAGGTCAATATTGCGAATTTAATTCGATTTGAACTTGTTTTCACTCGGGAGTATAGTTTTACTATATTATTCTATTAAAATTATACTATCTAAATCAAATTTTACTAAACAAAAGCAATATTTTTGTATTTCTAGCTTTCAGTTAGTAAAAATTTTTCCCTCTCAGAATTTTATAGTTTTCGAATTTTTTCTGATCTAAATTGTTTTCTTCAATTTTATTTGACACTATTTTTTTCTACTTTTCAGTAAAATTCGCAAAGAAAAAAATTTTTTCTTTGCGAATTTGACTATTATTGAACTTTTCTGATTTTTTTTAAACTTTTAAAGTGAAAAGAAAATTTAAGGTTTTCAATAGGTATTTTTAAAAATAAGTTTTGATAAATATTTAAAACAAAATTATTTTATTACAACAAGAAAACCAATTTCGTTAATTTAAAGAAATCATTTGCTTTGACTAGTTTCTTCGATTAAAAATTAGTTTTTCTTTGATTCAGAGAAAATTTCTTTGAAAAAAATTATCTTTGATTCAAAAACAATTTATTTGTTTGTCAAAGAAATTTTTCTTTTGAAATCAAATTATTTCTTTGACACTAATGATAAATTAATATAATTTTCTGGTTTCATTTTGTTTTCTTCAATTTTATTTGACAATATTTTTTTTAATAATTCTTCTCGTCTCATTAGTTTAGTAATTATTTGACTAATTATTAAAAAATGAAAATACAGAGAAAACATTCTATACGGAAATGTAATTAAAAGTTATTAAATTATGTGATTTCACTGATAAATTTAAAAATGAAATAATTTAAAATGAATAGAAACAATTTTGGATAATTGTACTGATAAAAATTTAAACAATTGGTCATTTTATACTCAAATAAATAGCAATTTTTTGATAATTAATGATTATGTTTGTCAATTAAAGTTTTTTTGTTCTAAATACTTCTGTATTTTGAAATAAATGATTCAAAAACATTTTTTCGGTTAAAATGAAAATCATTTGGTACAAAATTTGATTAAAAAAAAATTGTGCCAAAAATTTAATGAATTTAAGCAAATTTTTTATTTTAATCATACATTTCAATTTAACAATTTTTAACAATTCTTAACAAAAATTTAATAACATTTTTCTCGGAAATTCTATTGTTTTAAATAAATTTTCTAAAATTCTTTATAAGAATTCCATTTTTTTAAATGTAATTTGAATTGAATTCCTCGATAGAATTTGATTATTTTAGAAATTTTTAATAAAATTCTGAGCAATATTTATATTATTTTTTTAAGAATGTAAAATTTTTCGGAAGAATTTAATTATTTAAAAAATAAATTATTGTTCGCAGAAATTCAATTATTTGTAAAAATTTTGATCAACTCTTTATTAGAATTCAATTTGTTTTATTATAATATGAATAAAATTTCTCGAAATAATTTAAGTATTTTTAAAGAATTTAATTGAAAAATTTACAAAAATTTAATTATTTTCATAAATGATAGAATTTAATTTTTTTCTTAATTCGTTATAAAATTTTTCAAAAGAATTCAATAATTTTCTAAAATTTTAATGAATCCTTCGAAACAATTCAATTATTTTTATGAATAGTAAAACTCTTTGCAGGAATTAAATTATTTTCAAAACAATTTTAATTAAATTCCTCAAAAGAATTCAATTTATAAAAAAATTTAAAATATATTTCTAATAAATTCAATTAATTTTTAAAATCTTATAAATCTTTTAAAACAATTCTATTATTTTTATAAATAGAAAAATTGTTCGCAAGAATTAAATTATTTTTATAATTAGTAAAATTCTTTACAGGAATTCAATTATTTTTAAAACAATTTTAATTGAATTCCTCGGCAGAATTCAAATATTTTCAAATATTTCCATAATATTCAATTATTTCCTAAAATTTCAATAAATTCTTCGAAGCAATTCAACTATTTTTATAAATACTAAAATTCTTTCCAGAAATTAAATTATTTTTAATCCAATTTAAATAAAATTACACGAAAGAATTTAATTATTTTCAAAAATTTCCATAAAATTCCATTTCAACAAAAAATTTAAATTCTCTAAAAATAATTCAATTATTCTCAAAATATTTTCAAAAATTCTATATGAAAATTAAATTACTTTCAATGCAATTTTTAAATATATTCGTCAAAAAATTGAAATAATTCAATTATTTTCAAATATAATAAAATTCTTCTGATTAATACAATTATTTTTAATATGCTTAATTTTAATAAAATTCTATACAGAAATTCAATTATTTTCGGAATAACTTTAATTGAATTTCTCGAAATAATTTAATTATTTTCAAATATTTCTATAAAATTCTTCAAAACAATTCAATTATTTCCAAAAATTTAAATAAATTCTTCGATCATTTCAATTATTTTTATAAATAGTAAAATTCTTTGCAGAAATTCAATTCTTTTCAAAACAATTTTAATAGAATTCCTCAAAAGAATTTAATTATCTTCAAATATTTACATAAAATTCATTTATTTCCTAAAATTTTAATAAATTCTTCAGAACCATTCAATTATTTTTATAAATAGTAAAATTCTTCGCAAAAATTAAATTATTTTTATAAATGACGGGTTCCACGTCAAGTGACCCAGGTCAAAAATTTACATGGAATATTTGAAAAATTTGTAGTTTCTGTAAAACAAAACGAAAATACGTTTTCTATTTTGGGTTTTGCTGCTGTTTTTCAACACTTTCTAATAGTGTGAACAAATGTAGAGAAAAAAAATTGTTTGACCTTGAAAAATTAAATTAAAAAATAAAATTTCATTTTTTTATCAAATGGGCAGTTTTTATTTTTTTTTAAAAAATTTTATCATAAAGGTGAGGTTTTTTCCTAAAAAAAATGTATAGGTCAAAACGTGGGACAAGAACTTTTAACTGGTCAAATTAAGCATTTACTTCTGCCGTGCACCGTCCCACAGTGGAATTTTTTTTACAATTTTAACTTTATTAAAGTCTGTGGTTTTTCATTCTGTCCGTTCGCAGTATGAAGTTAGTTGTTAGTTATCATTTGCGAATTATTATCATGATTTTTTTGTTTGTTTATATTTTTCGTGATGTTTTGACATTTCCGATGTTATGTTATGCGGTAGTGCGGGTGTTTTTAAAAAACGTTAAATTGTGACAAGAATTATTGTGTTTGAAAAATCGTGGAAAAATATCTGGTATCAGGCGAGAGGTTACCGTTTTCAGTGGAAAAAAAACTGTAGATTGGTAAATTCTAATTATTAATTAAAATTTTCTTCTTAATTAAATCATTTATATTATTTCATTTTATTTTGTTAAATAAAAATCTCAAAATAACTAAAAAACAAATTTTATTCGTATATCTTATTATTATTATTATTATTTTTTTTTATTTATAATTATAATTGATAATTTTTATTGTATTTTGATTTATTATTATTATTGAAAATTTTATGCATTTTTAAAATCTAAAAAAACTGAAATATCGAATTGTCAATAAAAGTTGTATTATTTTTAATTTTCAACGATTATTAATTTTAATTAAAAAATTCAATTTTCCTGAATCAATAAAAAATATCGTTCTAAATTTTATTACATTGGTCGTTTTCGTAAATTACTATTCAATAATATTAATTATTCAAAATAATTAATTTTTTAATATTTAATTTTTCAAAAATTTAATTAATCTTCAATTATTAACTTATACAGTGCAGGATCTAGAGTCTAAATTTTTTGGGAAGAGCGATCCCTTTAGTGTGTGCTTTTTTTGATTGCTATTATGAGTGATAATAGCTCCTGGTTCTTTTATGTTTAAAAAATTGTTCGAAATAATTAATTTTTCAAAAATGAAAAAAAAAATTCAATTGTTTCAAATTTTAATTAATTTTAAAAAAATGATTTTACACAAAAAATTTATTTATTTTTAAAAATAATTGCAATTCAAAATCTATTTGAATTTAGTATTTTAATAAATTACTTTTTTTATTATGTTAAAAATAAATTGTTTTTTTAAATATTTTATTAATTTTTTACAATATTTGAATTTTAAATAATTCAAAAGTCAATTATTAATTATTCAAAAATAAATCAAACAATTTTAATTAATTCAAAAATAAATTATTCTGTTTTTAATAAAAATTTAATTATTTTGAAATCATTGAAAAATGTAATTGTTCAAAATAATAATTAATTATTCAAATATCAAAAATACAATTAATTCAAAATTAAATTATTTCATTTTAAATAAAAAATTGAAATTAATTTATTGGCACTTACGTAAAAAATAAACGTATTTCTGTGTGTGTTTGTGTGTAGAATTAACTTATAAGTGCTTTCTTTTGCAAGAATTAAACTTATCGTTATCTTCTGTTCAAATAAAATATAAAATGTTAACGTTTTTTTTAACACAATATTATAGAAAATAGATTTTCTAAAAAGAAAAAAAAATAATGAACTTAAAAAAAATACTTTAGGCACCGCCTTTCATTTCAACTATTTAAATACTATCAAGTCTTTTAAAGACTATATAAAGTCTTCAAATCATGAAAAATACATAATAAAAAATTGAATTATTCCGAAATAAAATTCAAAAATCAACAAAACAATCAATTTACAATTAGGGCCATTTGGGGTAATTGTAAACAAGGGATAAATGTAAACAATAGATGTTTCAACTAAATTTACAAATTTAAAAATTAGTTTTAAAAACTTGAAAAAAATTGTTCATAAATTTAAATTACTTTAAAAATATCCAATTAAAATTATTAAAGAAACACAATTATTAAACAAAAAATAAAAAATAATTCTTCAGAAAAATTTAATTAGGGTTTCCAAAATTGATTTAATGATTTTTAGCGAAAATTGAATTATTTTCATAAATAATGACATTTTTTGAAGAAATTCAATGATTCTCAAATTTTTTGCAAGAATTTAAATGAAATTCAATATATTAATTTTAATTAAAATTAAAAATATTGAAACATAAAATTATTAAAGAAGATAGGAAACAAAAAAGTAAATTACAACTAAATCAAAGAAGATAGAAGAAGAAGAAGATATTAATATAGAGAGAAGATATAAAGATAGAAGATGTTAATTGAATAATTTTATATTTCTAAAAAAAATGTATTTTTCATTCTTTCCAGCATTTCCATTTTTTAAATTTATTTAAAACATTATAACGTCATAATAATAATTAAAATACCCTTAAAAATAATAATAATCATTTTAAAGAATTGCTATTTTAATAGAAAAAATATATTTATATATATATTAAAACATAAAATTATTAAAATATTAAACAAAAAAAAAAATATAAACTGCGAACAGATATTTTCAATTAATAAATAAAAATTTTAATTTATTTATATAAAAAAAGAAAATGCAAAAATATATTAATTAATAGAAGATGAAATAATTTCTTTAATGGCATTTGAACCATAATGACGTCACAATTTGTTCACAGCATTTGCCAAAAAAATTGTGACATCATAATGGTTCAAATTCGCTGAAAAAATAAAGTTTTAATTATTTAAAATAAAACGTTGAAAAAAAAATGCACGCGCGCTCGCGCGCGTCAGTTTTTGCTAGTTTACTATTAAAAAATGTCTATAGCTTACAATTTTTAACCGATTTGAGTGTTCTTTGTCTTAAATTAAAGGGGAATAAATTCTTAAGACATCCTTCGAGGCCGATTTTGGAGATTTTAATTATTTATAATTTTTTTTAAATCAAAGTTAACAAATTAATACACCTTTTTAAAAAAGGAGGTTTATTTTCTTATTCCGTTGATGCACATGATCTAAATAAATTTAAATTCATCCAATATGACCACCAGATAATTAATAAAGCATAAAATAATTTATTTCAATTGTTATAAACAATATATAGCCCAACAACGAGCAGGGGCGGTGGATTGCAGAAGTAAATGTTTATTTTGACCAGTTAAAAGTTCTTGTCCCACGTTTTGACCTATACATTTTTTTTAGGAAAAAACCTCACCTTTATGATAAAAATTTTTTTTTTAAAATAAAAACTGTCCATTTGATGAAAAAATGAAATTTTATTTTTTAATTTAATTTTTCAAGGTCAAACATTTTTTTTCTCTACATTTGTTTACACCATTAGAAAGTGTTGAAAAACAGCAGAAAAACCCAAAATAGAAAACGTATTTTCGTTTTGTTTTAAAGAAACTACAAATTTTTCAAATATTCCATGTTAGACCAAAAATTTAACCTTTGACCCCCTCCAGTTTTTATATTTGTTTAAATAAATTAATAATATTTGGTATTTTTAATTGTATCTAATAGGACTACTGTTTCTGCAAAATTTTTACCCGATCCCAAACATTTAAAATTTTGACCTGGGTCACTTAACGTGGAACCCGTCAAATAATAAAATTCTTCGTCCATAAAATTCAATTGCTTTTAAAATTTCCAATTAAAATTATTAAAGAAACTCTAGCTATTACTTTAAATAAATTCAAAGAAATTCTTCAAAAGTATTTAATTAGGATTTTTAAAAATTTTAGTAAAATTCATCGAGAGAATTCAATTATTTTCATAAATAGAAAAATTCTTCGAAAGAATTCAATTATTTTCTTGAAATTTTTTTTATAAAATTCTTTGCAAGAATTCAATGATTTTCAATACGTTAATTTTAAAATTGAAAATATTAAAAAAAAAAATTTTTTTTTAATTAGGAAACAAGAAACAATCAACAACTAACTTCAAACTGCGAACAGATTACCGGAATACAAAGATTATTAATAAAGATATATTTTTATTGAAAACTAAAAAATGTAAACTAGAATTTCGCTTACAGAAATTTGAGAAATTAAGAGAAAATCAAATATATAGTATAATTTAAATGTCTTTGCAAATCACAAGATTTTTTTCTTTTAGTGTTTGTAAATCTTAACCTTGTGCTAAGTAGGCATTTGGGGAAAAAGGGGGTAAGTAGGGGGGGGGGATTTGTATTGGGCACCTGTTACGATGGAGAATATACTATATTATAATGTGTATATATAAAGAATATACCGTTAGGAAGAGACGTGTTGGCAACAGGTACACCAACGGACCTGCCTTCAGGTTTCTGGCTTCAGGGCTTTATTCTCGAGACATGTTCGCACTGGCATGCATGAATGTACGCATTTAGTCTCGCTCATTTACCGTCTCCTCGTCTCTCGTCTCTCCTCTTAAACTTTACTCCTCTCTTATAATACACAAGTTATCTGTGACTCTCATCTTGCCCACCTTGGACCTAACTTGGCCCACTTTGAATCTCTCCTCTGTTAATATACATTGCAATTTGCCTTTTAACTTTTCTCTCTACTCCTGTTCCACCTGTATATTTTTCATTCCCTCCCAAAGGATGCAGGTCAGTGTTTCGAGGACTTTTTCATTTTTATTCCTCATCTCCTTTCGGCTAACACAAATTAATGATCCATCATAATTTCTGCTTAATGAATTTTTATTTCCTTTTAATGATCCCATCGAGTGTGTGTGTGTGCTTTTAGTTTGAATAGCAATTTTACTACTTTTCGATTGTAGGCCAATGTTTATTTTCCTGTAACATAAAAATTAATGTCAACATTTTTGTAATCACACTGAAAAAAAAAACAAATTTATTTGATTCAAATAACCGATTAATTTACTATTATCAATTAAATATTTACTTGAATCAAATAATATTTATTCCAATTAAATGGTTCAATTCATATTTGCTTCAAATACTGAAATTGGTCCAAATACCATTTAACTGATTCCAATAAATATTATTTGATTCATTGAAATATTTAATTGATAATAGTCAATTGATCGGTTATTTTAATCAAATAATTTTTTTCCGTGTAAAAAGCAAAAAAATAAAATATACAATTCGAGGGAGAATTTAAACAAATTCTAAGTAATTTCAATTACAATTAGGTATACTGAAAATAGTTTCAGTAATTGTAATGGCCAGAATTGAATAATAGTGTGACTTTATTGAAATGTGATATTCATTGAATGTAAATTGCCCTTTATTTGCATCGACTAGATCTTCAATTGAATTCGATTTGAATTTAAATAATAACTATTTAAAAGTTAACAAATCTACAATATTGGGTAATATTAGGATTTCAATATATTCTTTTCGTAATCAATCAACTTGATTAATCATTGAATTTAATTAACAGTTTCTATCTCAAAAATAATATTCATTTACATTTCACAATGTATGGGGAAAAAATAAATAATTACGTTTATTAATTTCTTCATAATTCACTGACATTCGATTTGTTTTCTATTTTAAAAAAAAAAATTCAAGGTTGCAGATCGCTTGGAAATTTTCTTTAGAATGCAGGCCTCGGGTCGACTTTAAGACGCAACAAAAAAATAAATAAAAGGCATTTTACTCGATACAAATGTACAAAAAAATCGAAAAAGTCGTTTATTGCCTTCAGGGTTGTCAGGAAAATTTGTTTTTCTATTTCCTTGACTTTCTTTCAGTTTTTAAAAATTCAATATTATTTTCAAATAATTTTCTCAAACTTTATATTTTTTTCTACAAAAAACAAGATAATTTTTTAAAACTAGAAAAAAAATTCTTTCATATATATTTATGTATTTCAAATTTATTTCAAAAGAATTACACCAAAGTTCCAATTGTTTACAAATTTGTAATTTATTATTTTTCTGACTTCAATCATATTTTGAAAATTTTAATTGTAATTATTCAAAACAAAGTTCAACTAAAATGCGTCTAAAATTCAATTATTAACTATTTTCCATTTCGAAGTTTTGATTATTCGAGGATTTTTCAATTAAATTCATATTAAAAAATTCAACCAACTTGAAAAAAATGTGAATTAAAATTTTTAAAGAAACTAAGCTCTTACAAATGTTAAATTAAAATTATTCAAAATTTTCAACAATTTTAAATTAAAATCATTAAAAATTTCTACTACAACTGTTCCAATTTCCAATTATTTTCTAGAATTTTGTAACTAAAATTATTAATTATTATTATTAGCCTCTACAAAATCCAATTAGTTTTAAAAAATTTTAACAAAGTTCTATGAGAACTCAATTTATTTAAAAAAAATTCTTCTAAAGTGCGTCTAAAATTCAATTACCTATGTATTTTTAATTCAATTTTTCAGAAATTTCAATTATTCGAAAATTTTCCCAAAATATCGACAAATTTAAAAATTTTACCAACATCAAAAAAATTAGAATTAAAATTTTAAAAGAAACTAAGCTTTTCCGATTGTTTAATTGAATAGAATTGAATTTATTTCTTGATGCTACAAATAATGTTTTACATCTCTTACAGCCTTAAACCTCCGATTGTGTAATTAAAATAATTCAAATTTTAAATGGAAATGACTTGAAATTTAATTATTTCTAAAATATCTACTACATAACTGTTTCAATTTCCAATTCTTTTTTAGAATTTTTAACTAAAATGCTTCTGAAAATCAATAACTTTGAGTAATTTTTAGAAATTTCATTTATTTAAGTAGAAAAATTCAATTTTTTCTTAAAATTACCACTGTTTTCATGTTTTTGGTTTTGTATAACTTTTAAGGTAAAAAATAAAATTTACGAACAATTTCAGATATTCAATATTTTTAAAATAAAGTTTTGATAAATATTTAAAACTAAATTATTTAAATTCACCCAGAAAAAAATTTTCGTTGATTTAAAGAAATTATTTGCTTTGACTGATTTCTTCGATCGAAATTTAGTTCTTCTTTGATTAAAAATAAAATTTCTTAGTTTAAAAAAAATGTCTTTAATTCGAAAACAATTTATTTGTTTCAAAGAAATTTTCCTTTCTAAAAGAATTATTTGGTTGATCAATGACAAAAATTTCTTTGATTTCAAGAACAAATTTTCTTGCATTCAAAGAATATTTCTTGGATTGAAAAAAATGTCTTTGATTCAAAACCAATTTATTTGTTTCAAAAAAATTTTTATTTTGGAATTAAAACATTATTTCTTTGACTCTATATAAATGATGAAAATTTCTGGTATTCGGACAAGAAGTCCCAAACAAAAAATCCAAAGTAAATGAAATCCGAAAAAGTAAAAAAAAAAAATAGTTTCACTTTGGACTTATTTTTTTGAATTTTTTGTCCTGGTCAAAAAATCCAAAGAAATTAAAAATTTAATGAAAAAAATTGTGATATAAAAATTTAAATGGTTCTTTTTTGAGTTCCTCATTTCAATGACTGGGAATCAAAAGTAGATAAACTTAACATTTTTAATTTTTGAAAATAATTAAATTAATCGAGTAATTTAATTGGAATTATTTTGAAAAAAATAATTGAATTTTTGTAAAGAATATTATCAAAATTGTTGAAAATAATTGTATTTCTTGGAATAATTATTTTAAAAATCTTATAGAATAGGTATTTAAAATTTTTCTAGAAATTTTTATATTTATGAAAATAATTGAATTTTTGTGAAGAGTTTTATTATTTTTGTAAATAATTAAAATCCTGAGATTTTAACATTAAAATTTCAAATTCCGATTTTATAGCGTAAAAAGTAAAACGTGGCTTTTTCATTTCATTATTTATTTTGAATTTTTTGACTTCGGACATTTTTATTTTGAATTTTTTGTACTTTGGACTTTTTTTCTTTGACTTTTCGGTCTGGATTTTTTGGATTAAATATTTTGTCCTGTAATCAAATTTCTTTGACTTAAAAAACAAATTTTCTTGGATTCAAAGAAAATTTTGTTCAAATGGAAAAAATATTCTTTGAATCAAAAAATCTCTTTTCGTTTAAAAGAAAAATTTATTTTGAAAGAAATAAAACGAATCCAAGAAACTTATTTCTTTGAAGAAAGAAAATATTTTTTTCTGGGTTTGTATTTTAATAAATAATAAATTTAATTTTTAGGACTAAATTCTGTTTTCTAAAAGAGTATACTTCTGAAAGAAGTAAGGCACTTTAGGGAACATTATTTTCGACTATAATAGTTATTTTTCAGATCTTATAAAAATCAGAGTTTGCAATTTCTTTTAAAAAATGATATGTACATACCTAGTTTATTGCAATTTCTGGAATAGAATTCGAAAAAGTCGCATAATTTTAAAATAAGGAAAAAAGAAAAATTCGAAAATGTTATAATATAGATTTAATAGTGTAGCTATCGAATTAATTATTCAAGCATTCAGAAAATGACTAATTATTTTCTTTTTTTTGGAACCGAATTCTTTTGAAATTTGTGCGCGCAAAAGTAGCAATTACTTGATAACTACTGAAAAGAAAATACGATAGGAAATTACAGCGAGATTGAATAATTTGTGAAAGAAGGGTAGAGTATAGAGAACACATCAAGTCTCTAAAGGGGAAAAAAAAGAATTTTCTTTTCATGAAAGTATATATGAGAGGTGGTTATAAATTTATAATGCATGATGAGTACATTCGCATCTTCAAGTGGCAAAACCGCAAGGTCTGCGTTCAATGTACTTTCTTTATGATGGTCACTGATATGCACCTAGTTACATCTCACGCATTCGAAAGACGTGTGAGAGACGCGAAATTAACAGTTTAACGCACTATCGCATCTCTTGTTGGTACACAACCTACCAATCGAAATGCATTCCTCGTAACGCTTCGCAGCCGATGAGGAAATCCTGCGGTGAGACTACCCGATAATGCTGCTTTTGCTGCTGCCTTTGGCTTGCTTTGGTCATTTTAGTTGTTGAGAGAATTATTCTAGTCAAGCTCTCCTATTGGGGATTCAAAAAGCTGCGATGCGTGGAAATGCCGCCAATTACTCGCTCTACACACGCATGTGATTCTCTCATTGAAAACTTGTAGCGCCTTCGAGGCACAACTTTGTAATTGAGATGAAAATTTTTCCCCCGTTTCTTTCCTTCCAGAGCGAAAATCATTCTAGGCCAGGGTTGATTATTTCAGAGACTAATCTTCCTCCAAGTTTCACTTCACTCGCAAGACGCAATTCTGGACGAATTGCTTTCTATTTCCATTTGATGGATTTGTCAAAGTTGACTCGTATTTTCCTTGTGTTCTGAAAGAAAAAAAATTTAGTTTTAATTATTTTCGAATATAATATCAATATGGAAAATTTTTCAAGTCGATTACAGACTAAAGCCTATTATTTACTACTTTTTTTACGTTAAATGCTACTATTTGGGCACTTTTTGTTAGATTTCAGCCACTAAAAACTACTATTTCTGTTTTTTTTCTGTTTTTTTTTTTAGAATTTCCACTACTTTAAATTCGCTAATACTAGAAATAAAAAAACTATTCTCAAAAATGATAATTAAATTCTTTTAAAAAATTTATTTATTTTTAAAAAATATTCAAAATTCAATTATTTTCAATATCTAGTATTTTCATGAAATTTCGCAAAAGAAATCAATTATTTAAAAAAAAATTGATAAAATTCATCCAATTCTAAGCAAGAATTTAATTATTTTCATAAATAATAAAACTCATCGAAGAATTTCAATTATTTTTAATACTCTTTTAAATTAATTAATCGAAAAATTCAATAATTTTCACAAATAAAGTTTTCCACAAGAATTCAATTATTTAAAATAAAATTTTCATAATATTTTTATTATATTCCGGAAAAATTAATTATTTAAAACAATTTTCATAAAATTCTTAAAAAGAAAAATTCAATTATTTTCAAAAATAAACAAAAATTTCAGATATTCAATTGTTTTTTAAAAATGTTAATAAAATTTTTAAAACGAATTTTATTATTCTCAAAAATAATGATATTTTTTAGAGCAATTCAATTATTTCTAAGAATTTTAATATGAATTCAATTATTTTCGACAATTTTAATGAAAGTATTTTAAAAAAATCATTATTTTCAACATTTTTAATAAAATTCCTTCAAAATATTATATTATTTTCGAAAATTTATTTTCAATTAATTTCAAAACAATTCAATTATTTTCATGAATTGTACAATTCTCCGCAAGAATTCAAATATTTTAATAAATAAAAAAATTCTTTGCAGATTAAAATATTTTCATAAATAATAAAAAATTTCTCGAAAGATTATAATTATTTTTAAAAATATAATTTAAATTCAATTATTTTCAAGAGTTTTTAGTAAAAATTCAATTATTTTCAACAATTCTGATAAAATTCTTCAAAAAAATTCAATTATTTTTATAAATTGCAAAATTTGTGGCAAGAATTCAATTATTTTTGTAAATAATAGAATTCTTCTGAGAAATTCAATTATTTTTAGTACAAATTTAATAAAATTTGTGAAAAGAAATGTTATTTTTAAATTCTGTGGAAGAATTCAATTATTTACAAAAATATAAGAATTTTTCACAAGAATTCAATTATTTTAATAAAATTGTTCGAAAGAACTAAATTATTTTAAATGCAATTTTAATTAAATGTTTTTGAAATAATTCAATTATTCTTTTAGATTTTAATGAAATTCTTCCCAAGAATTCAATTATATCGATAAATAAAAAAATTTTTCCCGAAAATTTAATTATTTTGAGGCATTTTAATAAAATTCATTGCAAATTTTAATTGTTTTTATAAATGTCAATATTCATCACAAGAATTGAATTGTTTTTAAAAGTAATAAATTTCTTCTTGAAAATTCAATTATTTAAAAAAATTCTAACAAAATCTTTCGCAAGAATCCAATTATTTTCATAAATAGTAAAATGTTTTTTAGGAATTCAATTATTTTCAAAAGAATTTAATAATAATAAATTTTTCTCAGGAATTCTATTATTTAAATTAGAATTTGCATATAATTAGCCGAAAGAAATGAATTATTTAAAATGTTTTATAAAATTCTTCGCAAGAATTAAATTATTTTTATAAATATTTAAATTCTTTCATGAATAATAAAATTCGTTGCAGAAATTCAATTTATTAGCAGGATAAGAAAGAAGTAAATATTTTTGATAAAAATTAGGAAAAAGTGAGAATTTTTTAAAAATCTCCAATGAAATTCTCTGACAAATTTAATTATTTTCGATTCAATTTCACAAAATTTCAAAATTAAGTATAGATAATTATTGAATAAAATTACATTTAAAAACTCAAGTATCTCAATAAAAATTGTATTTGAGGTGAACACAAAATTTAAGGAGAATTCAAGTTTCTTAAGTTCTTACAAAATGTTTTTGTACCCAAACAACCAGAATGCTTGTAATGAATCTAGAAACTTGATATTTTTTTTACGAATTTTTGATAAAATTCTCTGACATTTTCCTGATTTCCCTGACTAATTTTATTTTCATTGTTGACAAAGTTCAGGGAAAATTTTCAAAAATAATTGAATTCAGAAGAGTTGCGTTTATAAGTAATTGAATTTCAAAAGGTTTCGAATTGAAATTCTAGAAGATTAAACTTTTAAATAATTTTAACTCAAAGTTCTCAAGAAGTTAATTTTTTAAATAATTTTAATTGAAATTTCTTATAATATAATAATATATAATCATGATTAAATATTTATGTATAAAAAAGGAGTTATTGATGTTTTCAAATAATTTTATAATTTAAGAAATTCGCAAATTTATTAGAAACATTTGTTTGAGTATCTAATCATTTTTAGAATAAATAAAAATATTTTTTAGAACCAAGAAAAAAGTCAGAATTTTGTCTGGAAATGAGGGAAAATCAAATTTTTTGTGTCAATCTTAATTTTCCCGAAATGTCACAACTTTGCAATCTTTCCAAATTACTTCCATCTTTAGGGGGAATTTTATTCCCTTTTTTTAGTATTAATATTGTAAAAGCTTATGCAGATAATCTTTTACAAAGTGATCGTTCAATTATAAGAGACAGCAAGGTACCGCTTGGAATGTCGTTGGTTAATTGAGAATTCAAAGAGAATCCTCGGAGCGTGCCACTGAATGTGAAGATGAATTTTTTTTTCTTTTTCGCGAGGAGAAAAGCAATGATATTCCTTCGAGCTGTGTTCCCACTGTGGAAACGAACATTGACGAGAGATTTTTCATTCGTGGCTGTGTTTGTGTGTGGAGGAATTCAATCTGCTTGCGAAATAAGATTAGCACATTGTGTCCATAGAGAATGTCAGGGACAGAAACCACACATTTTCTTTTGTCAGATGAATTTTCTAGTGTGCACTCAGAGAACATTATTCCTTGGGAATCAATATTATGTAACATTATCATTTGAATTATACTTAATATACATGTTGGAAATTGTTTTCAATTTTTTTTTTCTTAGCTTGAAATTATGTTTTTGTTATTGAAATTAGATTTTTTTTCTTTTAAATTATTTTGACATCATTTTAGATTCAGTTTTCTCTCTGGAATTGTTTGTAGGTATTGAAAATTATTCCATCAGTTATATTTTTGGAAACGGGAAATTATTTATTCATGAATGACGCAGCCAATAATAAATTGAGAGATCGCAATCAAGTTTTTTTTGGGTAAATGTAAATCGCCTTGATCTTACTCTAAACGAAGGTTATTGACGCTTGAGAAGAATAATCACAATACGAAAGCTTGAAGAAGTGCGCAGTTTAGAATTAAATATTTAAATAATTTGATTAGGGGCCATACTTAAATTACGTAACGCTTTAGGGGGTGAGTGGGGGGGGTAAGATATTTGATACACTCAGCAAAAAAATGGCTTCTAAAATTTAATTATTTTTGAAATATTTCCCTGAACTTTGGCAACAATGAAAATAAAATTGGTCTGAAAAATCAGGAAAATGTCAGAGAATTTTATCAAAAATTAGTAGTAAAATATAAAATTTCTAGATTCTGTTTTTTTGGGTACAAAAAAATTTTGTAAGAACTTACGAAACTTGAATTCTCCTTAAATTTTGTGTTCACCTCAAATACAATTTTTATTGAGATCCTTGAGTTTTTAAAAGTAATTTTATTCAATAATTATCAACTTAATTTTGAAATTTTGTGAAATTGAATCGAAAATAATTAAATTTATTAGAGAATTTAATTGAAAATTTAAAAAAAATCCTCACTTTTTCCTAATTTCCATCAAAAATATTTACTTCCTTCTTATCCTGCTAATAAATTCAATTCCTGCAACGAATTTCATTATTCATGAAAGAATTTAAATATTTATAAAAATAATTTAATTCTTGCCAAGAATTTTATAAAAATTTTTAAATAATTCGTTTCTTTCGACTAATTTTATACAAATTCTAATTTAAATAATAGAATTCCTGAGAAAATTTTTATTATTTCTGGAAAAAATTGAATTCTTACGAAGATTTTTAGAAAAATTTTTTAAATATTAGAATTCTGTTTAGAAATTTTATGAAAATAGTAGATATTAAAAATCATTGAATTGCGAAAAGTTTTTAAAAATAATTAAATTTTTCAAAGAATTCTATTAAAATTTTTGACAATAATTGACTGTCTGTGTGGTATTTTATTAAATTTTTTTTGAAAATAATTGAATTTCTAAAAAGCATTTTATTATTTATGAAAATAATTCAATTCTTGTGAAAGATTTTATTAGAATTTTTAAAATAATTGAATTGAAGAAATTTATTACTCTTAAAAATAATTGATTTCCTGTGATGAATATTTTTATTTATGAAAACAATTGAATTTTGCAAAGAATTTTATTAAAATACCTCAAAATAATTTAATTTTCGGAAATAATTTTGTTATTTATCGACATAATTGAATTCTTTCGAAGAATTATTTACGTAATTAAATGAACTCTTGAGAAGAATTTTATTAAAATCTCAAAGAATATTTTAATTATTTAAAAAAAATTTAATTAAAATTGTATTTAAAAGAATTTAGTTCTTTCGAACAATTATATTAAAATAATTGAAAATAATTATTTATTAATTATATTATATATTAATTATTATATATAATTAATTGAAAGTTAATGAAATAATTGAAATTTCCTGAAATTCTATTTAAAATAATTGTATTTCACTGACAATTATAATTAAAAGTTTTTGAATTAATTGAAATATCCTGAAATTCCATTAAAAATAAATGAATTTTTAAAAGAATTTTATTGAAATTTTTGGAAAAAAATCTGGGGAATTTAATCACAGTATAATAATTTACTTTATTTTAAAAATCGGTGGACATCAACCTAAAAGTTTAGAATCAAATTTTTGCTTCTAAAAAAATATTTTTTTTGAAATATAATTATATGAAAGAAAAGAACTTCAAGAGAAGTTCAATAATTAAACTCCTCTTGAAGGAGGAAACAGGGGAAAAGTCGCAATTCTGTCCGAAAATCAGCAAAAAATCAGAGAAGAACAAAATAAAATTTTTGCCGCAACTCGCAGGATTAGAATGACACTTGAGAAGAAAAATAAGACAAAAAAAAAAAATAAAATTGAAATTTGTGCCTCATCGTCAAGTTCCGCATTCTTGGCCCATAGCCAGAGGCGTCATTTAACCTTAGAGAGAATCTCTTTAAATCTTCCTCCCCTTTCCCCCTTGTTCATTTCTCCTCATTGCCACCCACTGTCTCTCCTCTTTCTCTTTTTGTTATTAACTTTTGAATTTAGAAGAAGAGAGGACATTTTTCTGGTCCCACCCTAAAGAAATTCTTGTATTATTCTTTAGTGTCTCTCACTCTCGTGCATATAAACACTTGCTCACTTTACTTGCTTTCGTTCACCTTCTATTTGTGACCTTTCCTATGCTGGACCCATTTTCCTACATCTGCGAGTTGAGTTTGCTGGCAAGACTCTCACGGTCGTCTCGGTTCGACTGTGTCTTTTCTTGACTTGACCCCATCGTTCGCAGGCAATAATTTGTGCTTCGCAGATCCATTTGTCGATGAAATCGTTACTCCAAAGAGTGTCGAGTCGATTGGTGCTGATTTGCTGTCTTCACAGGTAGTTGAACTGAAAGTAGAACAAGAAATGTACTTAAAAATTTATCTCACTTATTAAACTCATTTTCATTCATTTTTCCCTGTCTCCTTTTTCTTTATTCTCCATTTCATTGTTTTCCTAGTTCTCCTTTTTTTTATTTCGAAATGTTCAATTTTCAGTTTTCTCTTTCTCTCTCTAAATTTCTCACTTTAATTTATTAATCGTTATCAATAAATTAAATTCTGGAAATTGGTAAATTTCGAAAAGAAAATAGGTTTTGAGAAATTAAAAATAGAAGAGAAAAAAAGAAGAATTTAATTCAATTAAATTTAATTAAAATTTAATTTGTGATACACAAAATTAAAAGGGAAAAAAAATAGTATTTTGACTAAAATTTGAATAATACTTTACAGATGACGATTGGGGTGGTCCAGCGGATGATCAAGATTATATTCCAGAACGTGAAACCTCAAATCTCACTCTACCGCGAATAACTCGAAGTCCAGAAAGAGTTTCGATCCCGAGAGGCGTTTCTCCGGCTTCCCACAGGAATCGTAAACCGCCAGAACACAGGCAAAGATCTCCCAGTCCACAATATCAACATCGAATCAATCCCGGAGAAATAACGAGTCCAAGGGAGAGATTCCAGGATGCCAAGGAAATGTTCAGGGCAATGGAACAGAGAGAAGCCGTTCAAAGACCTGTTGTTTCCAGACAGCGCGAACCTGAAATCCATATGCACAGGTCAGTCACTTTTTTTCGAGGAAGAAAAAAAGCTGTTTATTGTTAAGTCTTTGTAATCAGTTAATTAATTTAATTAATTAATCTTTATTTCTTCATTTATTAAGTACATATTATTAAATATTCTAGTTTATTATTATACAATAATTTTAATAAAATTTTTTGCAAGAATTTCATTAGTCTTATAAATAATAATATTTTTTAGAGCAATTCAGTAATTTTCAATACAGTTTTAATAAAATTTCTCGAAAGAATGCAATTATTTATAAAAATATTATTTAAATTCAATTATTTTCAACGAGTTTAATGAAATTCTTTTGAAAATTCATTATAAAAAATTCCTTCAAAAATTCAATTATTTTCAACAATTCAGATAAAATTCTTCGAAATAATTAAATTATTTTTATGAATTGTAAAATCCTCCGCAAGAATTTTCCGCAAGCATATTTTCATAAATAAAAAAATTCTTCACAAGAATTAAAATATTTCCATAAATAATAAAATACAAAAATTTTATATTTTCAAAATTTTTAATAAAATTTTTTCAAAAAATTCAATTATTTTCAAAAATTTAGATAAAATTCTTCGAAACAATATCCTCTTGCGGAGGATTTTACAATTCATAAAAATAATTCAATTATTCAATTATTTTTATGAATTGTAAAATTCTCCGCAAGAATTCAATTATTTTCATAAATAAAAAAATTCTTCGCAAATTAAAATATTTTCATAAATAATAAAATTCTTCAAAGGAATTCAATTATTTTCAATACAATTTTAATAAAATTTCTCTAAGGAATATAATTATTCTTAAAAATATTATTTAAATTCAATTATTTTCAACAATTCTGATAAAATTCTTCGAAAAGATTCAATTATTTTTATAAATTGTAAAATTCTTGGCAAGAATTCAATTATTTTTATAAATTTTTAGAGCAATTTAATTATTTTCAATACAATTTAAATAAAATTTTTAAGAAAACATTCAATTATTTTTAAAAATATTAATTAAATTCGATTATTTTCAAGAATTTTAATATTTAAATTCAATTATTTTCGACAATTTTGATGAAATTCTTTTAAAAAAATCATTTTAATAAATTTCCTTCAAAGAATTCAATTATTTTAAAAAATTCAAATAAAATTCTTCGAAACAATTCAATTATTTTTATAAACTGTAAAATTATTGGCAAGAATTCAATTATTTTTGTAAATTTTTAGAGCAATTTAATTATTTTCAATACAATTTTAATAAAATTTTTAAAAAAAATGCAATTATTTTTAAAAATATAAATTAAATTCGATAATTTTCAAGAATTTTAATATTTAAATTCAATTATTTTCGACAATTTTGATGAAATTCATTGAAAACAAGACTTTCTTATTTTTGATGAGAATGTAAAAATCATTTTAATAAATTTCCTTCAAAGAATTCAATTATTTTCAAAAATGCAGATAAAATTCTTCGAAACAATTCAAATAATTCCATAAATTACAAAATTCTTGGCAAGAATTCAATTGTTTTTATAAATAATAAAATTCTTCTTTCGAAATTCAATTATTTTCAATACAATTATTTGAATATCATTTTTAAGAAAAAATTCAATTATTTTAAAAAATATTAATTAAATTCGATTATTTTAAAGAATTTTAATTATTTTCGACAATTTGGAAAAATTCTTTTTAAAAAAAACATTTTAATAAATTTCCTTCAAAAAATTCAATTATTTTCAAAAATTCAGATAAAATACTTTGAAATATGTACAATTTTAATAAAATTTTTCGAAAGAATACAATTCTATTTAAAAATATTATTTAAATTCAATTATTTTCAACAATTCTGATAAAATTCTTCGAAAAAATACAATTATTTTCATAAATTACAAAATTCTTGGCAAGAATTCAATTATTTTTGTAAATAATAAAATTCTTCTTTCGAAATTCAATTATTTTCAATACAATTTTAATGAAATTTGTAAGAAAAAATTAAATTATATTCAAGATAATTTTAATAAAATTTCTCTAACAGGTTCAATTATATTTAAAAATTTTAATAAAAATTTGAAAACAATTCAATTTCTTTGAAGGATTTTATCAAAATTTTTGAAAATAATTGAATTCTTTCGAGACACTTCTATTAAAATTGTATTGAAGATAATTGATTTCCAGCAAAGAATTTTATTATTTATGAAAATAATCGAATTCTTCCAAAGGATGTTAATATAAAATTTTTGAAAATGATCGAATTTTTCCAAAGGATGTTAATGTAAAATTTTTGAAAATAATTTAATTGTTTTGAAGAATTATTTTATTAAAATTTTCGAAAATATTTAAATTGTTTTGATGAAGAATTTGAGTCGTTGCAATTAAAAATTAAAATTTCAATCAAAATATAATAATTTTATACTCTGAATTCACATTGAAAGAGCAGATAAACAATTTTTATTTTTGTGACAAACCATTTTCCCGCCTCAGAAAATCACAGAAACAATTAAACTATTCTCGCATTTCTCCGCGAGTTAGTCTTTTATAATTAAAAAAAAATATGCACATCCCATCACATTAAGTCATTAAACATAATATTTATAAAGATTTCTCTTGTCAGATGAGGAGGATAGATTTCAGAAACAAACTTTTCTTCTGGAACATTTAGAACTTAATTATTTTCTACATCTCTCATTAAATTATTTTCTAAAGAATGTCTTATTCTTTCTGCACATTTTGTTTTCTTATTTACAATTATTTACGTTTCTTAACTAAATACGTGCAGTGAAAAACATATCTTGACCTAAAAATTCAATGATTTTAATGTATTATTTATTTTAAAGCTTAAAACAATTCCAAGATTTTAAAAAGATATAAAATCAAAGATTAAAAAAAAGGAATAAATAAAGAAAACAAGAAATAAATTTTCGAAGAAAATTTATTTCTTGTTTTCTTTATTAAAAAGAAATAAATTTAATTTTTTTTTTTTTCGAAATAAATTTTCGAAGAAAATTTATTTCTTGTTTTCTTTATTTATTTCGTTTTTTTGAAATAAATAAATTTAGGAATAAATAAATTTTCAAAGAAAATTTAGAAAAAAGAAAAAGATAGAAAAGAAAAAGAAAGAAAGAGAAAGATTTATTTCGTTTTTTTAAATAAATAAATTCAAGAAGAAATAAATTTTCAAAGAAAATTTAGAAAGAAAGAAAAAATAGAAAAAAGAAGAAAGAAAGAAAAAGAGAAAAAAGAGTGAAGAGAAAGAGAAAATTGCAAAAGTCAACGTTTTTTCTCCAATTTAAAAAGATTTGAAGTTGTTGGGAATTTTTTTTTCCATCTATTTCAGATGAATCTAATCTCTCGTGATTTTCTTATCAAGCAGGTTGGACATGACGAGGCAAGCCCACGGGGACAGAATGAGCAGGCAATTTGTTCCTACTTCCGCACCAATTCACGAACATTTGATCAGGCGAAGTCATCCCGAACTATTAGCCCGTGAGAATGATGTCTCGTGCAAAGCCAAACCGAGACCTAGAACCCTTCATTATCCATTGGCACGTCTACCGGAACCGGAAGTCACAAGAACTCGGCCACGAAGTTCCTACGAGAGTCCCCCTGCCGTGAGGGAACTCAAAGGTCCAAGGAACGTCATCAACACGAGAGATGTAAGGATCTCTTCAAAATCTCCATTTGTTACCATTTTTTATTTTTTTCTAAAACAAGAATTTTTTTTTATTTTTGCAAAAATTTTTTCAAATTCTTTTTCATTTGTATTCGAAAATTTATTATCAAGTTATATATATATATATATATATATATATATATATATATATATATATATATCAATATAAGCTGTAAATTAAGATAAAGTTAAATTCAAATTTAATTTCAATTTAAGAGAAAATTTAAATTATAATTTAAATTAAAAAATTAAATTAATTAATTATTAATTTCTTAAATTTTAATTTATGAGAAAGAGTTAAAATTGAATGATTTATTTATTTAAAACACGTGCAGGATACGATCCTGGAATTATTAAATTATTAACTAATCAGTAATTAAAAATGACTTAAATTTTATAATCAAGAAAGTTATTAAGACTCCTCTTATAATAAAATTAAGAGAACGTATTTTAAATTAAGAGGTATAAAAAGTAAAATAAAATTGATTGAACAACTACTTGGTAATGTGAATACAAAATTAGAAATTAAATTCGATTTATTGTTAATTTAGGTTCATTACTGAATAGATAATTTATTTTTTCTAAACTAATGATCAATTAATTTCAATAATCACCAAGAAAATAATTGTCAGAGTATAGAAACTATATTCAATAATATATAACGCGGACTTTTTACGATGCCAAATTTTACAACTAAAATAAACTTTCGCATTATATAATAGTAAATTATTATTACAGAAAGAATCATTATATAATTCTTATGCAGTATTAAATGTATACAGAGGACAGCATCCGATACTTTATGTATATCTAATTATTATCATTTTCAAAATTTATATTTAAAATCATTTTCCCTGCAAAAGTCTCCAAATTTTTTGAAGGAATAAATTGAAAATTAAATTAAAATTATAAAATTAAAAATATAAAATTTTATAATACTATTTTAATAAATGTAACTAATATTCGAAATATTCATGATCCACAAGTTCTGAATGTTCAAATTAACGAAATTTTTTGATGACATTAATAATTTCAAAAATTAATGATAAAAAGCAAAAAATTTAAAAATAATTGAATTTCTTTGAAGGATTTTACCAAAATTCTTGAAAATAATTGAATTCTATCGAGAAATTTTATTAAAATTGTATTTAAAACAATTGAATTGTTTTAAAGAATTTATTTGAATTTTTTTGAAAATAATTAAGTTTTTTTTAATAATTTTTCTTGAAAATTTTGAAAGTAAATGAATTTTATGAAAAACTTTGAAGTTTTTAAATAATTGTGTTTATGAATAATTGCAATTGATAAAACTATTATTAAATATTATTAAAATTATTCATAGAAAATTAAATTCTTTAAGACAATTTTATTAATGTTTTCGTTAAAAATTAATTTTTCTTGAAGAATTTCTTTAAATTTCTTGAAAAAATGTAGTTTTTTAAAATAATTTTTAATGTAAAGCTATTTAATTCTTTTGAAGGATTTTATCTACATTTTTAAAAATAATTGAATTCTTTCGAGAAATTTTTTAAAAATGTATTGAAAATAATTTAATTGTTTTGTAGAATTTATTTGAATTTTTATAAAATAATTGAGTTTTTATTAATTTTTAAAAAAATTTTGTTGAAAATTTTGAATGTAATTTAATTTTATGAAGAATTTATCTTTCAAGTTGTTAAAATATTCGTGTTTATTAATAAATTTAATTAAAAATATTATTCAATTTTATTAAAAATATTAAAATAAATTAAATTCTTTTAATTTAGAAATTAAAATTCTTTTTGACTTAATTTAATTAGTTTTCGTAAATAATTGAAATTTTTTGCAAAATTTTTTTAAATTTCTTGAAAATAAAGTAGTTTTTTTTAATAATTTGAATTGAGAATTTTGAAAATAATTGAAATTTACAAAGAATTTTATCAAAACTTTCGAGAATAATTGAGTTTTTTAGAAAAATTTTATTACAATTTATAAAAATTATAATTAAACCCGTTCAAGAAATTATATTAAAATCGTATTGAAATTAATTGAAATTCCTGAAAAGAATTTTTATTTATAAAAATTGAATTCTACCAAAGAATTTTACAATTTATAAAAATAATTGAATTGTTTCAAAGAATTTCATCAAAAAGTTTAGGAAATAATTCAATTCTTTTTAAAAATTTTATCAAAAATTGTAAAAAAAATAATTGAATCCTTTCGTGAGATTTTATTAAAATTGTTTTCAAAATAATCGAATTTCTGCAAAGAATTTTACTATTTAAAAAATAATTGAATGCTTTCGAAGAATTTTATTATTTATAAAAATAGTTGAATTCTTTCGAAAAATGTTATTAAAATTTTTTGAAAATAATGAACAAGAATAAATAATAATGTAGGTAATTAATAAGTGAATTTTTTAAATTTTGACTATTGAATTATTCGAAAAATTGATGTTTATATTTGAAAATAAGAAATTATTTAAATTTGCAAAATAATAATAAGTGGAATTTCTTTTGTTTACAGATTAGAGACTTCAGAGATCGTCAAATTTCTCGAGATTTTCGGGATAAATTGAGAGTGAGACCAATGGGGTATCAGGAATTGTCTGAGCATGAAAGATTTCCAGGATTAGATCGAGAGAGCGCGAGACCAGCTTTAGAGATAATCCCTTCGGCAGGAAGATATCGTCATAGTTATGCAGAACCACCGAGACTGGGTCTAGCAGCTCTTCATCCTTACTAATAAACAATTTTCTTTTTAATTAACAAACGATGTATTTAATTATAAAATTATATAACCCAATATTCTCAACGAAAAAAACAAATGGCAGTAACGCTGGAAATGCAATAATCGTTGACATTAATGAGAATTTTTAAAATTCTTCAAATAACAGAATTTATACTTGAAATGCAATAGTAAAGAATTTTATATATTTTTCGAATTAAACAACAGAATGTTGCATATTTTTCGAACAAAAAGAATATTGTATATTTGTCGAATAGAAAAAACAATTGTTTTTTAACTATAGTAACAGAATTCTGTGAGAAAAATTAAAAATTTACAGAATTTTACAATTTACATTCTTTAGAATCGAATTTGATTTTGTTAAAACAATTAATTTGAAAAGCTGAGGGATTAATAGGGATTAATTGACGAAACGATATTTTATTCAACGAAAATGTATAATTTAGTGTTTAGAATTGCTAAAGGAAGACTATTTCATATCGTCTATTATTTTTATAATGCGGAAATTGTTGATATTTAGGATAAATTGTAATTGTAAAAAATCGAAGTTATATTTGCTCAAAAAAAACCCGACGTCTTCACTGAGGAGATTTTAATGAACTTTTTTTCTAAAAATATTTTACAATCAGTAGAAAAATGTTTTTCATTTTTCCGATTGTCAGGTATTTTTTAAAATTTATCATTAAGATTTTCCTTCAGCGTAAAAACTGTTAAAGTCTCGGAATATATTTTTTTTAACTGCGAGGAGGACATTATTGAACTTGTGATTGTTAGATCGAAAATTTTCGAAACAATCATTAAGATAATAAATCACAAATCACAAAGATGATTTTTAAATTAATCAGGTCTTCCAGAAAAGAAAAATACTTAATGTGAGTAAAATCGTGAGACATTTTATGTATTTTTTTTTCAATTAATGTAAAGCGAAAATCTTATATAAAATCTACGTGTTAATTACTATAAATTTTATTCTAGATTTAGAATCATTGATTTATAGTCGCAGGTAGTCGAATTTGCTCACAGGCAACGCTCAATAAAAAAAATCGTAATATACATAATAAGTGATACTGAGATAAAGAAGAAATAGAAACTGAGCAAGCACCTCTTTTGCAGAAACATGAAATTATTTATTGCGAAATTGCACTTGTCGAATATTATTATAGAAGAACTTGCAATGAAAACTGAGTGTCAGTAACATGTCATTTAAACGCAATCAACGCACAAAGATGAAAGAATGAAAAGAAACTCCAAACGAATATGAAAAAAATGTATTTGGTAGAAAATTATGAATTTCATTTTTATTCGTAACTTGCAATTGAGATGAGGAATTTTTCCCCGGGGTTTGAAGTTTCAGAGGTGAAATGACACCTTGTTGTCAGGGTTATTAGTTTCTGATGTATTACTGTATATGAAAAGAGACTAACGACAATAATAACAATAAATAACATTAATATTTGCAGCTTCTTAAATTTTTGTTCTTTATATTCAATCCTCAATCAATATTTTGTTTTGTAAAATATTATCTGTAAAATATTATTTTACAAAACATAAAAACGTTATTTTCGAAACAAAATTATATAATAATTTTCGTACATTAACATAATTTTTAATATAAAATTGTTAATTAAGAACAGTCGTCATAATCATTAATGTAATATTTGTTATCACTATTAAAAAATAATCAAGAATTATCCTTGGTTTTGTCTCAAATTTCAAAAAATTACAAATTCAAACTTTCGAATCTTTGAATTCAGAAAACGTTCGTTTTCTGAAATAATTCTCAAGTTACGATTCTTTCGAAAATTACATAATTTTATCTTATAATACTATTTTTAATGAGAGAAAAAAATAGAGACAAACGCAATATATTTCGTAACAGTTCTAAAATTTTTATTGTCAAGGAACAATATAATTCTCGAAGAGCTTTATGTATTTTTAAGCACAAGAAAATTATGGTTCACGCAGGAAATTTTAAATATTCGATAGTAAAATTTTATTCTTCTCGTGTCAACCATTGAATTTGAAATTCTAATCATTTCTCACTTTTCTTTTTTTAGAAATTTTAACATTTTAAGAAATAGAAGATTCTGTTAAAGAAGATTCTGCCTAATTATATGATTTTTATCTAATATTAAAAGAAAAAGAAACATTTTTATTACCAAATTAAATGTTCTTTCAATTTACCGACACTTTCTCGAGATGCTGAATACTTTTCGAATAAAAAAATACAATTTTTATTAGCTATATTCATAATTTCATAAGAAAAATTATTTTCGAATATCAGTAAAGTCGAGATTCATTATCTTAAGTATTTATTAAAAAAATTCTCATACAAGAAGAAAACTATTTTTTAATTGCAAAGATTAATTGAGAACGTAAACTATTGCAAAACGATAAAAATATTTTGCGTTTTTGAAATAATTTCGTGTTTTTTTTCTAAAATTGTAAAATTTTATAAACCATAAAACTGTAAAAGCAAAATTGACTCTCTTGAACTGTCTTGAAATATAAATAACAAAAGAAAAGGAGACCATTTGACGCTTTTAACACTGAACTTTAAAGAAAATATAAAATTTACCGTTGCACTCGCCAATCATGCATGCAAAAATGGAACAAGTAATTAGAACGGGCAAACATAATTACTTTACAACTGGACAATGGCATTCGCTTTTTCAAAAATTCTCGCATATCCTGTTAATGCTAATTATTTCTCAAGGATAGTTTCTGTATCTATGTCTTCAGAAAAAAATTGATTTCAAACAGAAAGACTTTGCTTTCCCAGTAAACGAATTTTATTTCCATTTAACAGTAACTTATTGTTTACTTAATTAATTATTAAGTAATTAAAATAAATTAATTTTAAATAATTAAATAAATTAATTTTACGTATATTTTAGTTAATTTAGCTAATAATAAAAATAAATTAATGTAACTTTTAATTAAATTAAATTTTAATATTCATTAAATAATTTTCAATATTTATTAAATTAGTTTCAATATTCAGTAAATTAGTTTCTATGTTAACTAAATTAATTATTAATTAAATAAATATCGGGTATCAAAATATTCATATTTGAAGGATAATTTTATTTTTTTTTTCTATTTTAGAATTATATTTGTATTTTAAAAACATTGCGAAGGAAAAATGAATGCCAAATGAAAAAAAATAAACTAGGAGTTACTAATGCAGGAAGTGGGAAGCTGGCATTGTTTCAATGTAACTCGTTTAGAATATCAACTAACTTGAAAGTTCTTGGAAGAAGAAGTATTAGCTTATGTTTAATTAATTATCCAAAGTTAAAAGTGTCAGTAAATGAATATTTCTAACATTCATGAGTGTTAAAACTTTCTCAAAATATTACAAAATTTAAACTCTTCCTTAGAAAAAAATTCTTTCCAAAAATTTCTCAAAGCATTGAAAATTAAACTAAAATTCAATTTTATTAAATAAATAGATTTATTTTTAATCAAATATTTAATACAAATAAAAAATAATTTTTTTTTTATTCCAATTGGAAACTGTATTTAATTTACTTTGGTGTTGATTTAATTTATATAATTTACTTTGATCGTAATTTAATTTAATTTTTTTAATTACTGCCTCTGAAAATACGAAAATATTCAAATTAGTTAAGGGCATATCTCTGGAACCTTTAACTTTCATGTCCCTCGCATATATTTCGATAATTTCAATAACTTTTTACTTTATTTTTGTTGGAAATATTAAAGCTTGATAAGATGAATCAGTTCCAAAAGGTTTTACATTAATTTATTAAATATATCAATAATTATTCCAATCTGAGTGCCCGATTTTTTACAATATCTACTTGTCCCTAACCATACTCTCGGATGGGTTAAACGATAAAACTTTGTAATGAATAAGAGTTACTAATTCTAAGACGCATCTTTTTAAAGTTAATTAAACAGTGAACACTTTTCCGTATGAAAATTAAAAATTTGTTAATTTTGAAAAAAGTTATAAGCTTTCAAACGTTGTCCCTCACTTTTAACCTTTTTGATCGTAATCGAGATATTTATCATTTTTCATTAATAAGACAAATGGCACATCAAAATGACTTACGGGAAATAAAAGTTCAAATTATTAGAATTATTTTGAGACATAGTAAATTGATGTGCCTCGTGTCTTCAAAAAACTGTTGTAATTTAAATAACAGAAAACACGCGCGTACAAAATTTGAAAACGACCGTAATTCGAGTGATACTCCACGAAAATCAAATAAAAGTATTTTAAAAGTACTTGTAAATATTTTCGCATGTGCCATTTAACATCCCGTGAATGTGCTTCAAGAAAAAATACTTTATTGCAAAGATAATGTAAAAATATTTGTCAATTACGGTCGACCGTAATCAACCAAAAGTTTTTAGAAAAGAAATTGTTAAGTATGAAGTTGTCGATTCTCACTTTTTTATAGAAACTGTTAATAAATAAAACTGAAGGTTAAGTTTCAATGTTTATATTTTGATTTTTTAGACAGAATAAATGATCGAAAAAAATAGGATATATAAGAAAAAAGAAAAATAGAAAAAAGTGAATAGAAATTGGAAAGTTTATGAGTGTTAAATTTAAATAAAATGTATCTGGAAATTGCAAGGTAAACTTTATACATTATAATTTCATATTTTTACAATTCAGTTTAATTAAAATCTATTTTTAAAATAAAAACCATTTTAATTTTTTAGTAATTCAAACAAAAAATAAAAGAAAAGTAATGTTAATGACTAGTAATAATATAATAAATACAAAAGTAATATATTATATAATAATATAATTATTATATTATAAATTATAACCCCTCAGTTAATTACTTTCAACTGTTTTCGATTCTAAAAAACAAACACCTGTTAAATATTTTTTTGTTGCACGTTAAAAATAATTCGCAATTTTAAATAGTTTATAACTTTTTGAAGACGAATCATTTTATCTGTCCACTTGGATATTTTGAAAGCTTATTTCTTAAAGTTTATGTAGACAGAGTTTCAATACTGTGCTCAATAAAAAATTAACAAATTTTTTCTCATTGAAAAGTTAAAGGTTCTAGAGATATGCCCTTAAAAAGACGAAAATATTCAATCAAATGGTTAAATATTTTGTAATTTATTCTCTTAATAAAATAAATATGTATGTAAAGAAAAAATAAAAATACAGTTACATGTGAGGGAACAAATTCTCCTTTATATGTAACAATAATGAAATGCATTGAAACTTGATAAATAATTTATTCTACTGGAAAAGAATTTGATCTTCAAATTGATTACATTTCTCTATGGAAAAAGATCGTGCAGAGACTTGAAACTTGATTGTGTATTGAAAGAATCGAGTCTCCCATAAAGGGACCTGGGCGAACCTGATCGTGACTCTCAATGGAGTGACCTGCACACCAACTTTTCAATTATTTTTTCTTCTATTCGTCTAAACACTAATTTTATTTTCAAATTTTCTTCAAAAATTCACTCAACAATTTATCATTTCAAGAAAAAAAAACGAAACAAGTGAGAAGATAATAAATTTTTAATGTTTCTTAGGAATTTTTTTATTTTATTGAGTTTTTTTATTGAATTTTTATGTATGAAATTTTAGAAAATTAAAAATAGAGAAAATAAAAATGTGAAAAATAAAAAGAATACAGAAAATACGGAAAATCAAAATTGTAGAAAATGAAAAATACGGAAAATAAAAAATACAGAAAATAAAAAATGTAAAAAATAAAAAATATATAGAAAATAAAAATGTAGAAAAAAAACTTCAGAAAATGAAAAAAAAAAAAAAATATTGAAAATAAAAAATACGGAAAATAAAAAAATACAGAAAATAAAAAATACAGAGAATAAAAAATTTAAAAATGAAAAATATAGAAAATAAAAAGTACTGAAAATGAAAAATTTAGTAATGAAAAATACAGAAAAATGAAAAATAGACAATAAAACAAAAAATTAAAAAAGAAATAATTGAATTCTAATAAAGTTTTCAAACTATCAATTTTTACTTTTCAAAATCTCAGACAGGGGGGAAAATAAAAGAAATTTGATATAATTCGAGTCCAAGAAGTAATTACGGTGTAAAACAGAATTTTAGTGATTTGAAATTGGAAATACTGGGTTCAAAAAGCAAATTACATACTGCTTAAAAATAACAAGTTTGGTCGTCTGGCAAAAGATAAAAATCCTTTTCTTTTAGAAAGTTTCCGAAGATGCTCTTTTCGGTCGCTCATTATACAAAATTACAGATGTGATAAAGCGAAGGGTACAAAGAATGCGTGATAAAAGTAGAAAAAAATTTATTAGCCACTAAATAAAGGCGCAATTCATTCAATTTTATTATTTTTTATCTATAATTAATTTATTTTTTATTCACTCTATTAATTTTTTTCTCCAATTTCTTTTTCATTTGCTTCTTTTATTTAATTAACTTATTTTTATTTGCTTCAGTTATTTTTTTATTTATTTTTAA